CAATAACCAAAACAAGCAACTTCACCATGTTTAGTGTAGTTTGTATGTAATTAAGCACAAAGCTACACAAACGGCTATCTGTGCTCTGCCCACCACGGGTATCGAAACCCGGTTTCTAGCGTTGTAAGTCCGCAGACATATCGCTGTGCCTCTAGGGGGCTTTAGTGTAGTTAGCTCAAATAATTCTATTTTATTATTTCTTTTGTAGGAGATTCAAACTTTATATACCATAAGCTGAAATACCCGTCAACTGACGGAGAATGTTTAAATTTAATTAAAACAATGTAAGTTTAACAGCGATCATATATTTCAAAGTAATAACTTGAACATAAACTTTATCTGAAAATTTTGAAATTATAACAAAGCTTATTCATAAACAATATTTGCAGTTTGTTTTTGTATCTACAAACAAATAAAGATTTTGAGGTGATCCCACCCTTTAACACCCTACATCTCATTGACCATGAGAAAAGCATGGTTGTTTGAGAAACAATCCAGCAACTTTTATACATTGACCTTGAATCCCTTTAGAATATTCAACACTGTATAAAGCGTCAACCTTACCAACATTGTTTGAGATTGACTCAATAGCCTGGGAGTAATTAACCAACAAGCTTTCAAAATAGATACAGGGTTAAGTTTCATTTTAATCACTTTGGGACATTCCCCATAGTTCATAGTGTTTACATACAAATTTTGGTTGAGATTATCCCAATAGGCTCGGAGGAGTTATGGTGCAGACAAACACACATTTTGTCTTTATCTATCTCTCTATATATGAGCTATGCACAAACAGCGTGTTAATGCGTGTTCATTCTACCGAAATGAACGTCTATATAGCTTGATTATTTGTTATGAATTGTGAAAGTAGTTATTGCTAAAGAATATATATATATATATAGTATCCTCGAATAAATGGATTTCTGTACAAATACAGGATAGGTCCATTGAGAACAGTAGGTTTTAACAACAAAGTTGCTGAGTTATCTAAGATTGAAAACTTGACTAAGTTTTCAGTTGAGCGAGAAATAAACAGACTACACACGCGTGAAGGTAATTGAAATAATGTATTTGCTACACAACAAAAAAACAACAATGTGCGTATTTGTGTAGACATTGCGCAATCTGGCTTTCTATTAGATTAGTGTAAAGAACTTCGGGCTTCCTTCTCTCAGAAAGAATGTTTGAGAGCTAAACATGTTAAAGCCGAAAAGAACTTTCTAGAAAACTAGGTTTTCAGCTTGCACGAAACCTTGGTTTTGTGTCTCTCACGATCGCCTTATCATATGACTGATCACTCTCTGATAGCCCTTCGCTAATTGAAACATATAAATATGGCCCACTCGGCCAACTAAATGATGTCTACATTTTCACAAGCAGAGTGGATGACATCTGATATGAAAACAGAGAGAGAGAGAGATACAAGGTCAATGCTATAACCAAGATACATCAATGGTTTTCTGAGTAAAATGTTTTTATGCTAAAATTGTATAGAAACAACTACGCTTCGAAACTACAGTTTCAAGTGGCACAATCGGATAACAATGGTAACCTTTTCATTGTAGATGGGAAGCCAGTCCGTCACAGGTTAACTACAACTAACAGCTGATACCACCATACAATTAGATAAACTGGTAAGGGTGGGGTAATATGCCTTGCTCAAGAACACAACAGCATGATGCAATTCAGTCTCCAACCCGCAAACACCTGACTATGAATCCAAAGAGCATGAAGCCTCGCACATCACTAAAGATGGTGAAAAAGTACGTGATGTACAGAACACATGATACATTCGTATATAAAATTCCCCTCATATCTATTTGAGGCTTGACCTCAAGCCAAAAATTCAAATTAACCCAATTAGAATTAGGCTCACAATCTGTTCAAGGAACACGTTAAATTTCCTTCATTCCGAAGAAACCTACACACACAATATTGATAACATAAGCCTTTAATAACAATTTACAACTCAATTGGATAACAATAAAAATACAAAAAGCCCCAGTGGCTCAGTGGTAAGTCTGAAGACTTATAACGTTAAAAACTGGGTTTCGATATAAATTAAAGACACAGTTACAGAAAGTCAACCCTTTAACATTGATATTTTATACAAAACATCCCCTTTAACAAAGAACTTATGGACTGTCCTGATGTCCCTGCTAGACAATTAGAACAGACTCCACGCTCTACCTGGCCTCATTCTTCTTTCTACCATCTGGTCGTCATGCTAGCAGTACCCAGTCCCAGTAGGAAGGAATGGGAGTCGAGATTGGAACTTACACGGACAAAACAAAGAATGGAATGAAAATCAAACCAAAAACTGCAGAGGAAATAAAATAAAACCATTTAAGAATGAATTACAAGCTTAAAATCAACTTTAACAAAAATTTTATTCCGCTTCCTTGTGAAAGGGGCAGTCTAGAACAATATATTTGAATATCAAATACCTTTTCGAATTACAACTAAGCAAAGTTATAACTTTTAAAAGTCATTAGAATAACGTAAAAGAAAAAATTATGAAATTTAAATTGTATACAAATAAAGTATATATAAACACTTAAAATCCAGTAGCAAAAACAAAAAACTTTTAACCACTCCTCACTAATGCCCACTCGTGAACATAAGCAAGTGATGGTACATTAAAAAGATACACATAATAAACAAATCCATATAAAAATAATAAATGAAATTCATTTAATATTCATACACATGAGTAGGTAGCCCACCCCTGTGTCCGAAGGATGCCGCCTCAGTTGGGAGTCGGCAAGTGAGTGGACATCAAAGGGTACCGCCTAAGGTTTATATAACTATTACGTAATATGCAAAGGATACCAACACCTGAGGTTTGTATAACTTTTAGTAATATGTGAAAGACTAGAGAGCACGTTGTTATGAGAGAGGGTGGCATCACAATGTTACTCACCAGAGGGCGTATTGAAACGGTCGTGACGTCGATGGTTGGCTGAGATATAGTTTTAACATATGACTACGTCATCAACATTTTAGTTTTCACTTCTATATTTAATTATATATTCTAAAAAGTTATGTAACACTCTACAAGTAAAACTATTATTTGAACAAAACAGTTAATATAACCGATTGTGTTTCCGTTTGATAATTAATTTGCATGTATCATAAAAGTTTTGAATACTTTATAAGTAAAAACATTATTTTAATGATACAACTATTACGACATAGCTGATAATTTATATTACATTTTTATCATACATTTTATTTCAACTTATAGATAAATCTATTATTTAAGCGAGGCAAATATTATAGCATAGCCAATAATTTACCTTAAATATTTGCTTTTTCAATTATCCGTCACTTTATGTATAAAACACTTATTAATATCGTTAATTTATTAGTTCTATAGTTCTCTAATTGATATAACATGCAATTATCCGTCACTTTATGTATAAAACACTTATTAATATCGTTAATTTATTAGTTCTATAGTTCTCTAATTGATATAACATGCAATTATCCGTCACTTTATGTATAAAACACTTATTAATATCGTTAATTTATTAGTTCTATAGTTCTCTAATTGATATAACATGCAATTATCTGTCCTGAAAACCTTTTATCACATCTAATGTGTCTTTTTTTCTAAATAAAACCCTTGTTTGAACGAGACAGATAGATTATTATTTCATAGCCGATTGTGTTTTTATGATTTAAATATCGATTTAGCACAATTTAACGTACTGTAATATACGATTATATTTTTCGCTTCTATATTTGATTTGCATGACATACTTTTTGCATTTTCTGACGTTTAAAATACGTAAAATTCAAGATGTATACGCGAAAGAATAACTGTTTTGAAAATGTAAAGATATACAGAAACAAGCAAAAGTACCCGCGTCCAGTGACGTGAAAAGTTTAAGTTATTTTATCAATTTAAATTATTTCATGGACTTTAAAACGGTTAGTTGTGTTTGCGCTGAGCTACTTATACCGCCCACAGCGAAAAGAAATTGATGAGCATTTCAGTCATGCTAAGAACCGCTCAACAATAACATACGGTAAATCTACGTTTTTATTATTTAACTTATGTGACATTTTGATATGTGAATGATAGTGTGATTAATTCCTAACAACTTAGTGTTGAATATCCTGCTTACGAAATAAAATTTGGCATCAACATTATTCATGCCTGTTCTCCCATCATTTTAAAATTGAATGTTGAGCTTTGCCTAAGTGCGCTGGAAGCAGCTGCCATAAACGGAAGACAGACGAACGCTCGAACATACACCACAGTTCACAATATATTTAAAATAGAATTTGTTATTTCTGAAGGAATAATTAAACGAATATAGATATGTTTGAATATTTTATTCATTATAAGGTTTAATAATTATCTACTCTTTTGAATTTATATAGAGATTGAATTTACTTTCAAGGCTATTGGCTTTTTTATTCTGTCAATTTTAAGCAATAGAAAAGTGTAGCAAGAGGATCAAAATATCTAATGTCAGAAATTCCAGCATGGCGGGATAGTAAATTTTGTTAGGAATTTCAAGTGCATGACATGTTTCATGGAGTTTATATATGAAGGAACGTTCGATGATCATATTACTTCGAATTATTTGGGGGAAAATCCCTTATATTTCGTTTACGGTGATTTATTCTATTTGATTAATCACATGCTAGAGCACTTCGATATATCACAGATATTATTATGTTTCAACATCATGTTCTCCAAATGAGGATTCGTCCAGACCATAGAGAATGCTATGATTACATATATCACCTCTACTGATGAAAAGAATTGCTCACTTCTAATATTTACAGTAAACATTAGTATTAATCCATGATCTTTCTTGCAAGTTCACTATGAATGATTAGCTATAAATCTGAATAGTTGATCTAGGATCCTGATCCCCTATCTAATACTTGAAGTTTTGTGTCTAAATCTTTCATTATGTGTGACAACAGTCTTATTTAGAGTTTGTGATTTTACTTATATACATTAGTGGTATCATATCTATATGGAGACATGTATTAGATGATTAAACACAATTGTAGAAACATGGATAATCAGTTGATGGAATCTAATTGAGTAGAAAGTATACAAGAATTATATGCTAACTATAATGTACATATTGAACATGGCCCGACAAAACTTGAGAATATCACGACTACACGTTCAGTATTTTGTAAAGTGAAAGAATCAATAAGTATGTTTACTGACTTTTAGATTCAGTGACATAGAAAAGATGATCATCACTAGTTAATTTAAACTATGGTATATACTTGCGTGTGGTAGCCCGCTCTCAACCTTTTCCCAGGGACCACGACTGTCTTACACGACGAATTCGGGGATATCAATGCAACGCTAACAAAATATATTTATTGTTGGAAATATATGCAATAGCTATTTCTATAGTGGAAAATTAAAGATATATATATATATATCCCAAGACATACTAGTTTCAAGCACATAACAAGAACTGTCTATAAGGTTTTTAAGTTAATGTATTAGGTAGAACACGACCTATATACTGCTTCAGCTAATAAAACACCCAAAACTCTCCAATTTCCAAGTAGCATACAATTACCACTTGTTTATAGATACAGTTGAATGATTATAACCGACTTTGCAAATATTGGTGGCCATATAGTTTCCAGTGTACAAAGCTCAAGTTACTTATCATATGATTAAAGTATACTATCAAACTTGATACTCCCTGTAAAAAAACAAAACAAAAAAAAACATTTTCTATTTGAAATCTTATATCGTTATAGTGTGAACGCCTTTTCCAAGATGGCGAAGCATAATTATATTAGTGTTAGGCCAGTCGCATTATTTAACACAGCATTTATTACCTAGTTCCTTAGAAATGTTCAAGCATTAGAAAAGCTTATCATAATATATTCGCCATATCCATTGCCGACGACGCGTTTCACTCAATCCAGAGCTCATCAAGTCGGCTGGGGCACAACAAACACAGTAGTCAGCAAAAAAAAAACAACAAAAAACAGTCATCATATAGAGTGACGTATGTACCATTAGTTTTTTGAATACTAAGAATGTCGATTAATACGACACAAGGAACACTTAATCCACATTTTTCTAATGTGTGCGTCTAATACTTTAATCCACTCTTTACAGTGTTTGGCTAAGGTTTTAATACATTATCTTATTATGTTTGTCTAACATTTGAGCCTTTTTTTCAAATATCTTAGAATTAGAACCAAAGTAGATAGTTTAAAATTTCTTAGTTTTTAAGGTACCTTCGCATTCGCACCTTTTTCCTATCAAATGTTAATGTTTGCTTGCGCTTGACACAACAGAAACTCCCTTATTGCGTACTACAAACTTATATATACATATACAGTATTTTGAGTATTTATTTTCTAGTGTTATCTGTATAAACTATACCTTCGCATGTCCTTGTTTACTTCATGTTAGTATAATTTTAAAAATTAATAAAATGTGCATGTTTTTCCAGGTCGCCGCGAGTCCTCTCCTAGCATTTTCACAGCCGGCGAGTATCGTGACTGGTTAACTCGAGCACCTTCCACTTCAGCAATATACGAGCGCTTGAGACGAGGGCGAGGTTTCCGTCACGTGCAACCGCTTCCGAGGATCGCACACAGCGTTGAGAGCTTACTGGATTCGCTCCAACAGGTGAGATTATATTGTTCATAAGTATGAAGTAGTTCAATTTGTTCATGAGAAATTTCTCTGGAAGTCCTGTCTATAAATTTCTAAATTTGCGTTGGATTTCTATTAAGAAGCTTTTAAACTATGATACAGTGGTTTGTTCTAAAGATGTTCGTTCTTTTGTTTGCTTCGCCTTTAAGACGTGAATGTATAAAGAAAGAACCTATAGTAATGTAAGTTGAATATATCGCATAGTAATAAATGTAAGCATTCTTATTGAAATACTTTACACACTAAAAAAAAAGAGGTTTTTAAAGTGTCTAGATTTGTACTTTTATTAAGCTTTTATGTACGATAATTAATAAAAAATATGCACCAACCCGAACCTTCTTTCCGGTGGCCCGGCGGTAAACTAGAGGGAGTTTATATAGCTAAATATCAGGGTTCGATTCATACAGTGGATACAGCACAGATAGTCTATTGTGCAAATATGCTTGTTAATAATAAACAAACCATATTATATAAAGTATATTTCAAAGTAAAACAGTTTGAAAGTAGTAGTTTTATCCCCCTAAAATTCTCAGCATGTGACTGATATTAGATGATAAGAGGAACCCGCCAATATTATAAATAACAGCACATAAGCTTCAAATGAGATAACGCCCCATCTCCAAGTTACACATTTTCAAATGTAAACGTAATAACACATGGAAATTCTTAGCTACAAAAAATATTTCTTAATATCTTAGTGAGTGAAGTCATTACATTAGTATTAGTATAGGAGTAACCAGGGTATACTGTCACTGTTGGCTGTATTAGTTTGAGATTATTAACTTCTTTTTTTTTGTTAAACTTTTGTGTGTTTACTGTTCTCTGTTTAGAATTACCCTACAAGTCATTTTCTAATAAAGACAGATAGTACACGTGTTAAAAAAGTCAAACTATTCATTGTTAGAATAAAGATGGGTGGTAAATATATATTTATAAAAAGTCAAACTATTCATTGTTAGATCAAAGACAGATAGTATACGTGTTAAAAAAGTCAAACTATTCATTGTTAGAATAAAGATGGGTGGTATATATATATAAAAAGTCAAACTATTCATCGTTAGAACAAAGATGGGTGGTATACATGTTTAAAACGTCGAACTATTCATCGTTACAACAAAGACAGATAGTATACGAGTTAAAAAAGTCAAACTATTAATCGTTAGAACAAAGATGGGTGGTATACATGTTTAAAACGTCGAACTATTCATCGTTAGAACAAAGATGTGTGGTATACATGTTTAAAACGTCGAACTATTCATCGTTAGAACAAAGATGGGTGGTATATATGTTAAAAAAGTCAAACTATTCATCGCTAGGACAAAGATGGTGGTATACATGTTAAAAACGTCGAACTATTCCTCGTTAGAACAAAAACGGATAATATACAAGTGAAGAAATTGAACCACTTATTGTTAGAATCAAGTCTGATATTATACAAGTTATAAAGTTGAACTATCCATTGTTAGATCAAAGATTGGTAGTATTGTGAAGTTGATCTAGTCATTGCTAGAACCAAGACTGATAGTATGCAAGATAAGAAGTTGAACTATCCATTGTTAGAACAAAGATTAGTAGTATTGCGAAGTTGAACTATTCATTGTTAGAACAAAAACAGATAGGGACTAGATTAACAATGTAGTGTTCAAAAATTTAATAACCCTAATATCAATTCTTTATGACAGGTATAATTATGGTAGTATATATATTAAGAAGTCTAACTAAACACATATTACTTCAAATGCGATGGTCATTTTAGAACTTGGTATTTTTTAACCAATATAGTTGACTGATTTAGCTAAAGACAATTCTGCTTTAAACTCACCTGCAAAACAGTAAAATACTTATAATATTTAAGTTTTGTTTGTCATTTTTAATCATTTTAATCATCGCCATTACAGTCGTTTTCTATTTGATATCATAATGTATTCAATTAAATATGCAGTAAAATATCAATATTTCTTTGTAAATACAATGCAGTTTTAAACAAGCATTCTAGATATTTTCGTGAAAACACGAACATTTTTTAATAGCGGATTTACCAATTTTTGCTGTAAACCTTATTAAGTCCAACAAAGTTAAAGAATTAATTTCGATAAACCACGAACTCGTGAAAATCTGGTAGAAAAAATGCGTGGATCGTAAAAAAATAAAACAAAAAGCTACCCCAGGAGGTTTCAAAAACATTCACTAAATAGTTGCTGTATTAATAAAATCTGAATAACAGTTTGTTCTTTGGAAAAAATTAAAGTTAAATATAAAATGATAAAACATTTGGTATTTCCAATATTTAAATGAAATTTAAATCCAATATTTAAGTAATACTTTTATTTTTCACCAATAGAGGAAGTAATATGTTTGTTGTTTTTTGAATTTCGCGCAAAGCTACACAAGGGTTATCTGCGTTAGCCGTCCCTAATTTAGCAGTGAAAGACTAGAGGGAAGGTAGCTAGTCATC